CTACAAGCACACCTCTAGTCGAACCGTATTCCTCCCCTTGAAGCACACTGACGGCTCCAACCCGACCATCCCCATCACCCAGCCCGCACCAGGCATCTTCATCTACCGCGTCTCCGAAGGCTTCAACTACCCCAACGCCAACCACTACACCGACAATCTGGTCGAACACATCTTCGACTCTACCCGACGCACTAATCCATCCTTATATGCAACCCCCGGCGACCGGCCATGGAATGACCCGGCCCCTCGCAAAAGCAAGGCCGAACAGATCGCCAACTCCACCGAGAAACCTTTGCTGCGTGCAGTCATTCTGGATTTCTCTGCCGTCAACAACGTCGACGTGACTTCGGTTCAAAATCTGATCGATGTCCGGAGCCAGCTGGACCGGTATGCAGCCCCGGACCGAGTCCAGTGGCACTTCGCTCATATCAACAACCGATGGACCAAGCGGGCTCTCGCTGCCGCGGGATTTGGTCGGCCTTTGGATGTGCCTGAGTTGAAGCCAATCTTCAACATCACGGAGGCAGTATATTCTGGAGATAGTTCGGACCAGCGGGCCAGTGATATCGAGTCGCAAGCCGGTGATCAATTGAAACAGAGCAAGAGTAGGGATGACAAGAACGCCGGGGTCCTGAGTATACGGGAAATGGACGAGGCAGCCAAGGGCTCGGAGAGGACAGCTGTGCAGCGACGCGGGGATGGCAAGCCGGCGGTGGTGACTGGGGTGAACTTGCCATTGTTCCATATTGACTTGACGAGTGCTCTGGAATGTGTGATGGCATCGGTGTCTGACACTCCGGGCAAGGTGCATGCCAGCTAATGTGGCTTTCGTGTTAGAACTTCGTTAATAATATAAGTTAGACAATATTTACCCTATTTACACAAACTTAACCATATTTCCCCAGTACTAGACTGACTGTAGGGCTACCCGAGACCTCCACATAGTCCCATCTTCGCGACGATCCCAACCTATTTCCATCGGCGACTCTCTCGGCGAAACCCCGCATCTTAAATCAGACTGTTCGCGGGGTAAAGAACAATATTTCCGTTCATCAATGTGATTGATACTTTTTTCCCATTAATATTTCCCTAGTCACACACACACACACACCAAACAGCTCATCACCAAGCAAATACAAAAATGGGCTCCATCTCCCTCACCGATATGTCCAACCCTTCGTGCCTCCTCTACGGCGCCCACGACGCCCGCTACGAAGACCGACCCATTCCCACCATCACCTCCCCAACAGACGTAATAATTCGCATCGCCTACACCGGCGTCTGCGGCAGCGATGTACATATCTCTCTTCCTTCTCCCTTCCATTCCCTTATCCACCCACCCAGCTCCTAACCAAAGAGAAACAGGTCCACTTCTACCTCCACGGCGGCATCCACCGCCCCATCTCCCCCTCCAACCCCATAACAATGGGCCACGAATCCACCGGCATCGTCCACGCCGTTGGACCCGGCGTAACCACCCTCTCGCCAGGCGACCCCGTAGCTCTCGAACCCGGCTACGCATGCCACCGCTGCAACCTCTGCAAATCCGGACGATACAATCTCTGCCGGGAGATGAAGTTCGCCGCCGTCCCGGGTGTATGTCACGGCACGCTTACTCGCTTCTTCAAGTTACCGGCCGATTACTGTTATCGTATCCCGGAGGGGACGTTGGGACTGGATGAGGCGACGCTGTTGGAGCCGTTGGGTGTGGCGGTGCGGTCTGTCAGGGAGGTGGGGGTGAAGCCTGGGATGAGTGTTGTGGTGTTTGGGGCGGGGTCGGTGGGCGTGTTGTGTATGGCTGTGGCGAGGGAGTTTGGGGCAAGTAAGGTGGTGGGGGTGGATTTGAGTGAGAAGAAGTTGGCGTTTGCGGAGAGCGTGGTGGGTAAGGGGGCTTGGGGAGGTGGGTATGTTCCGTCTGGGGATGGGGAGGTGGATGGGAGGAGGCTGGTTGAGGGGTTCTGCGATGGTGATGAGGAAGGAAATGCAGGGTTTGATGTTGTTATTGAGGCTACGGGGGCAGAGGCTTGTATTAATCTTGGGATAGAGGTGGTGAAGGTTGGAGGGGCGTTTATGCAGACGGGGCTGGGTAGGAAGAATGTGGATTTTCCTATTGGGACGGTGGTTGGGAAAGAGGTGGTGGTTAAGGGGTGTTTTCGGTATGGGCCAGGGGATTATAAGCTCGGGGTGCAGATGGCTGTAGAGGGGAGAATTTCGCTGAAAGGTTTTATTACGAAGATTGTCGGGTTTGAGGAAGCCGTTGAGGCGTGGGAGACAACGGCTAGAGGGGAGGGGATCAAGACGTTGATTAGGGGGGTGGATACGCCGGTGGGGGAGTAGGCTGCAGTCTGCTGCATCGATTGAGTAGTGCATGTAACGAATAGATGAAGCTGGATAGCTAGCTATAGTTCTATCCCCGCATGCATCCGGACTAAGCCCTCTGTGCCTGAGTGGTCATCCTCTTTACCTCGTCCTCCAAGATCTCCGGCAACGTCGCCTCAATACTCGGCTGCGTGGGCGTCCATTCCAACACCTTGGCTCCTCTCCTGGCACGTCCCCGAGAATTCAACCCCCAACTCAGCGCCTCATACCCGCCATACCTCTTTGCATCCTCCAAACTGATCTTCTCCTTCTCGACCCCAGAAAGCAAACCTAGCTCTGTCGCTGTCAACGCCGTTGCCACAGCCAGCTCACCCCAAACATGCTCCCCATTCTCGGTGAGATAATATGCCCTCTCCCCCCACAGCTCAGGATCATCCCGTCCATGCACGGCCGCCTCTACAAGCAGCACATACAACTCGCTCAAATCGTGAATATGGATGTTATTCCAGATCGACTTGCCATCTCCAATGAGCGGTGCCTTCTTAAGCTGCAGGGTCACTTTGGCCAGCTCGTAGACTTGTCGTCCACGCACGGATACAGGGCCTCGACCACGTCCTATGCAACACCCATTAATACCACATCCACCCTCAATTCCAAAAAAAAAAAAAAAGAAAAGAAAATAACATACCATAAATAGTAGGTGGACAGACCAACGCCGTCTTCACCACATACCCTTTCGCTTTCGCCGTCTCAAGTACTACTCGATCCACATTGCGATGGAACGCATGCTCCGGGAGATTCAACAACTCGTCCACCCCGTCCCAGTCATCGTAGACCTTGTCACTACCTTCACCAAACACGTTACGATCCGTGTCATGGAACGTAAGGATACCCGTGCCGCCGGTGTGCAGCCAGTAACCGGGCTTCTCTTTGCTGTGGCCTTTTTCTAAGCCTTTGGCGATGGCGTTCGCAGCACCTTCGTGATCGGAGGCGTCGGCGGTGTCTATGTATCCTTTTAGTACACTGCTAGGATAGCCAGAACGATGGACTCTAGGGAACAGGGTTACGCATACGTAAAACGATATCAGCTTCAGCACTCTCCTTCTCCAAGAGGGCAGAGTCGTCTAGGTCGCCGATGACAACTCTGATAGAAGGATACTGGGCTTGGACCTGTGCGGCCTTTTCTGGGGACCGGACCAACACAGTGTATTGGTATTCAGGATGCTTGGCGAAGATGGCGTAGAGGGCATCGCCGCCGATGTAGCCGGTTGCGCCGGTGCTGGAGGTCAAGTGTTAGCGAGATATATAATGCGGTAGTACGACCGAGTGGAGTGGTACATGAAGATCTTGGGAAGAGTGGTCATTTTGCCTGGAATGATGTTTTTAGAGAGCTTGGCTACGACCTAAGTCTCGTTACGTCTGGAGAGTAACGCTGTTATATCTCAACTGAGAGGTATTGACATTAATAATAGCTGTAGGCGATGAAGTCAGTCCGTAAGCCGATGACGTCGGATTCACCAGTTGGCGATTGATAAGTCCTTTCCGCCTGCCGTATTAGGAATGCTCGGCCGACGGCGGCTTCCGCCGACTACAAGTCCGGGGTTACCCCTTTCTCGACTCAGCTTAAACTCCGCATGCAGGGTTCGACGACTACCCTGTTACCCCTCCTGCAATTGCCGGATGCCGGACACTTCGGGTGTATTCTGGTGTTACTGATGCTCAATTAATGGGCTTGAGTTCGACATACTGCTGATGTAGAGGGGTGTGGTCCCGATAGGCAGCAGGATATTTTGGGACCCGTAGAGCGATATTTTCAGCTTGGGGATGAACCTTTGATGAGGCCATTGCTTTTCCGGAAAGTAGTCTCCCCAGGACTGGAGAGTTTGTCGAGCAACAAGCCAAAGATCAGATAGAACTCTGAGACTGTGACATGCCCTAATCTGCAAGTCAGCTATCCTACCACTGCCCTATACACAATCGGAGGACTGTGAACTGCGGGCCAAAGATAAGATCTTTGAACCATGGAAGCATCCCAATAAGGTATTCTTCATATCCACCCTTATCAATTACCAACATGATCAAAATTTTCTTCACCGGTGGGGTCTCGCCCGCAATGGCATGATCTCGACCCGAGCGTTGCTACGTTACTCTTCACGCCTGAAGAAGCTTGGGCAGGTTGAAAATTCGAACTACCAATGGCATACATCTCAAATGCCGCTCCAAGCCATTCCAACGTTCTTATTCGACAGTCCGAAAGCCTCCAAGAACAGGACGCGCTGCCCCCTCCATCCAGGTGGGTCTCAGCTTTGTCCGAGGTCTGGCGGGTGAAATTTCTTCCACGCGTGCAACTCGCTTTAATGAGATTTGCTGCGCAAATTTTTACTGAAATACAAGGGCCTGTGAGGCATTTAGAGTAGCAAAAGTCTTATATCTGTTACGGTCATGTCTACCAAGAATCATGGTTGATATAGACAATATCAGTTTCATCACGTCGTGACTCACGATGCACGAGTACCCGCATATCTCCGCGGCAAGCTTTTACGTACCAATGGAAGATAAGAAATGTGATCCAGTTGACTCGATGGCTTGGCTATCGGGTGATATCCGCAGTGTCTCTGCGTCTACATAAAGCGGGGTTCTTCGCTGCCGGGTTTTCACTTCCCCTCTCCCCTCACTGTTCGCTCGCTCTGAATGATCAATCCGAACAAAATGGGTGCAGACCATATTGCAGCGGCCAGTGATGGCGTGACTCGTGAGAGAAACATCGAGGCCCAGAGTGCCTTTGCTTCTACTTTGGTGGTGGATGTTGAGAAAGCGGCTCATCCCAAGGAAGCGCCCACTGACAGACCTCATACCAATGTCTATGGATCCACCATTGACACTCCCACATCTGTCGCTGGGACAGACGCCGTCTATGCAGCTAAGGCGGCGCTTTTGAACCAGGCAATGTTGGATATGGGTATGGGATTGTATCAGTGGTTTCTGTTCATCATTACTAGTGTGGGATGGTTTCTCGATAGCGTATGTCAAGACCTATGCAATAGTGCAAAATTTGAGCTACCTTGCTAACCAATACAGTTCTGGCTGATGTCTTTCACGGTCATCGCCCCCTCCAGCGCCAATGAAGCCCAGTTCTTTTACACCGACAACAAAGAGGCCTACCTTTTCATCAGTCTGTACGTCGGTTTGACCACTGGCGCCACCGCCTGGCCCTGGATGTCCGACATGCTGGGCCGGAAGTGGATCTTCACGAGCACCCTGGTCTTAATGGGAATGGGTGGTCTCGTCGGTGCCGGAATGCCGTCTTTCACCGGACTTTGTGTCGTTGGCTTTGTTGTTGGCTTTGCAGTGGCCGGTAATCAGGTCGTGGATGCGATGGTTCTGCTCGAATCCGTTCCCGCATCTCACCAGTTCCTTGTCTCCATGCAGGGTGCCATGTGGGGACTGGGCCAGCTGGTAGCAGCAGCTGTAGGATGGTGAGTCTATATCCCCATTACAAAATGTCCTATCACATCATCTAATAATCACAGGGCCTTCATCGCCGAATACACCTGCGGCACCGGTCCCGACGAGATCAGCACCGGCGCAGCCCTGTCCCACCAATCCCGCGCCGATCCCTCCAGCAGTAGCAGCAGCAGCAGCAGCTCGCAATGCCACTACGTCTCCAACAAGGGCTGGCGCTACGTCTGGTGGACCTTTGGCTGCATGACACTCTTCCTATACCTGTGCCGATTCGCCTTCCCGCTGCGCGAAACCCCCAAGTATCTTCTCTCCAAGCGCCGCGACGCCGAAGCTACCCAGCTCGTCAAGGACATCGCTGCCTACAGCAACCGCAAGACCTGGCTTGAGGAGTCCTCCTTTGCTCGCATTGACTCAACCGTAGACGCCAGCGCCCCCGAGTCTCGCCGCCAATCGCGCACCAAGTCCCTCCTGTCCTCTGCCGGTGCCATCGGCCTCCCCGTTCTCTGTCTTCTCTGGGCCATCACCGGGCTGACCTTTACCCTGCACAAGACCTACATCAGCAAGTACCTCGCCACGAAGGGCGTCGATGCGGTGTCAGCTACTTCCGTCACTACTGGATACCTGTACAGCCGGTACCTGTACGTGGCGCTGTGCGCAATCCCCGGCCCGATCGTCGTGGGTCTTCTCATTGAAGCGAAGGGACTGGGTCGCAAGCGCACGGGATCTATCATCGCCGTGTTGACGGGTCTGTTCATGTTCTTGGCTACGGTGTCGCGCTCGAGGGATGCGCTGCTCGCGTTTGAGTGCATTCTGTCGTTCTTGCAGACAGCGACAATGGCGGTGCTGGTTACGTACTCGGTGGAGGTGTTTGCTGCTCCGTTCCGTGGTTTTGGTCTGGGAGTTGTGGGTTTCTGCTGGGGAATCTTCGGATTGATTGCCAGTATTATCACGACATTTGAAGGTGCTGTTGCCGATGGCGCGGCAGTGTGGTTCTGCGGTGCGATTTGGGTGATCATGGGTGGTGCTTGGCTGGCTGTTCCTGAGACGAAGGGTCGGGCTGCTGCTTAGATGGGTATTCATTGACTTGATGTGACATGGAATGAGTGATGAGATATGTACTTGGGTTGATGGCAAATTGAGACGATTAATGGCAAGTTATCATGAAAAAATCTATATACAAAGATATTGCGTCTACAACGCCCTCCTATACACCCTTTGGTAGATAATAGCCCCAACCCCAAGAACAGCAGAGACTCCCAACAACCATTTCGCATATCCCACCTCTCTCTTGTTTTCTTTCTTTGCCTCAGCCGTAGGCTTCCGAACCATATACCAAGGCACAAAATTCCCCAGATCCTCTCCCTCTATCGCAAGCTCAAATCCATGCTTCAAATACACGGGCCTTGCCCCAGGAGCAGAAACCACGAACGTTTCGAGGCCCTCTTTATCCGCGCGGCTTGTTCCCCACTCGATCATCCCCGACGCGACGCCTCGTCGTCGGTACTCGGGCTTCGTGCCAAGCATGTTAAGATCTGATCAATTAGCCATATCCACGACCAAAACCACTTAACCCAAGAAATGAGGAAAGATAAAAAGGTGTCCCTTACAATAAAACCTCCTCTCCCCCATAATGCCCCCAATCATAGTCCTGAACTGCTCCAATGTTTCCTTGAGAAGCTCAATATCACCGACGTGAGATGGATACGTGGCGAGGAGTTCTTGAGTTTCGGGGTCTTTACCCTCGGCATAGTCTTTATTCTCATCGCCGTTCGCTGGATGATCTTGCTGTATGGGGGCAGGGAGCTTCCACTCCAAGAATCCGACAAGCTCGTCATCTTTCTCCGTATCAATGACCTTCAGGATGTGGTACTTATCAAGCCCCTCCGTCAGTTTTCGGGTGAAGCTGGCTACCCACCAAGCGTGGATCTCGGGGGTGTTGGGCCAAAGACGCTGGTCCACGGGCGTAGTGAAGCATTGAAGGTAGAGGGTTGCGAGCGCGTCGGCGTCGGAGGGGGTACAGGGGAGTTGTTTGAGCATTTTGTATTATTTCTTCTTTGAGACTTATGATATTGGTGTTTTGGTAAGTACTGGGAGTTGGATTTGCTGAACAGAACAGAATGACACACCCCAAGTGTGAGAAGAAAAGCCAGGAATTGCTTTGAAATTAAATAGCCGGCTAGTTAGCTGTGCCAGCACGGCTTACGGAGATTATGATTCTTTTACTAACGCTAAGATAGTATCTAATCGCGCTAATCACTCGGTACAAAGATATGAATGGCTGAGGGTGAGATGAGGATTACTGCCCGGCACTTGGTTGGACTAGTGTGTAGCTAAGATGCATTAGTGGGTTCCTGTCAGGCCACCACCATTTCCTGTTAATCCGCTTGGATGACTGTACTTTAATTATCGTAGACATTAACATTATCATTAAAATTTCTGATCCATATATCAATATGCGTTGAACCCTCCGTGGCTGGGGTCTAATGAGTCTTCTCCAAGATGACAGGCTCCGGACTCCGCATTGGACTCGACATCCGCGGGTCGTGCGGGTAAGTTTGGGTCTGACTCTGAGCCGGTGCCTGTGGGTATGGGTGTGGGTACGCCTGCGGCTGTTGTCCCTGGTGGCCGTAGCCGTAGTCGTGGTGTCCCTCTCCCTGGGGATGTTGTTGTGCCTGACCTCCCTGTCTAGGTAAGAACGCCCGGCGATTTAATCCCTCTCTAGCATTCGAACGATTCTCTCCGCTCTTTGTAGCTTCAATTTCCCTCTTGACCCCCTCATACATATACTCGATGAACTGGATTTCGTCCTGAATATCTAACGAACAACCAGCCAGACACAGCTCGCGCTCGCGCTGCTCGATATATTCCCGTATATTCCGCCACTCGTTCTGATAGTGTTTCAAGCGATCCGGTAGCCCCGAGCCCTTCAGGTAGGTCAGCACGCCGGCCATGATGGTGTTGATGGCGCCAAAGGCCGTCACGGCGGAGTGGGGACCACTGGCGGCGCCGAGAGCCGTTAGGGCAGCGGCCACAACGATCTGAATACCGAGGCAGACGTTGATGAGGATGCTGAAGAAGCGGTAGCGCGTGGCAGCGGACTTTTCGGCCTCGACGACACGCGTGTAGATGCCGATGTTGGGGGCCGTGCGACTGAAGTGGTGCAGGGTGTTGAGGGCGGGGATGCTGTCGATGCCGGTGAGGGCGCGGAAGACGAGGAGCTTGTCTTGGGGTGGGATGAGGGAGCTGGCTTGTGTCGTGGAGATGGTGAGAGGGGGTTTGTTTGCGGGCATGTGTGCTGTTGGCATGGGGCCGTGTGTTGGGATGTTGGTTGGAGGAGCCGGCATGGGCTGGGCAGTGCTCGCGCTGCCGTTAGGGAGAGGGATGTCATAGGGTGGGTTGGTGTGATGAGAATGTCCTTGTGGGATAGGAGGAAGGCCTTGCTCTTCGCGATCGAAGGCGGCGTGGAGGAGCCGTCGAGCGAAGTTGGGTCGGCGATTAGGAACGGCCATGGTGAGTTGAGGAAGAGGAGAGGGTGAAAAGATTAGCGGATTGTGTGCGATTGAGTTGCTCGTGAAGAGGGTCCAACCCCTTTATTTGTAGCGGGGTGGTGCTTGATCCAAGCTCCTTTTCGTCATTTCCGGCATGGTGTTGAAGGGTTTGATAGGTTGCTCAGCACACTTTGATGGGCGCCACAATTTCTGCTAAGGACGGATATGCCGTGCGCTGAGCGGAAGAAAAGCAGAAAGAAGCTAAACAACACCCTGCATTGGTCCATTATTGGGGTGTCAGACCGTCGAGGGTTCAGCGGGCAAAACTCTGAAGATAGAGAGCTGGCGGGCTGGACCCTCGACCCACAGCGATCGACACAGTTCGGCACGAGTCATGGGACGTGCACCTTGGCCAGCAGTGAGATGAGAGAGGTGGAAGTTGGAACCGATTGGCTTGTCGGCAGTGGGCCATTCATGGTGGACATGCAGTGGACAGCTTTGGGGGCAGCTGAACGGGCCTGGCGTTCCTGAGCACTGAATGTCAGTGGATAGCCAGTGGATGTGTTGGAACGAACTAGCCGAGGGATCGCAATGTGATTCGCCGTGCCATTGTTCCGATTGTGATGTGACAGGCAACACGAGTCCGGCTGATGGAGATTGTCAAAGCAGACAAACCATCCTGCAGGGAAAACAAGCTCTAAATTGCCCGTCCACCCGTTCGCGACGGGTTCACCCGCTGTGTGACTGTGTTGGTTGTCGGAGAAAAAGTTTGGCGCCCGATGAACCCGTGTTCTGCATCCCGTCTGGCATCTCCACAGCTTGACGGAGTGACTGGTCGCAAAAACAGGTCACTGGGATGGCGGGCTGAGGCGATGCCGGCGGCTGTCCGAACCATGGATGTGAGGCTGTCAGATGCAACACAAAACTTGGGACTGCAGCTATCCAGCGCGACGTCTGCAAGCGAACCGCCGATCGGTCATGGCTTTACGGGCCGAGGCTAATTTCTTTTGTGAGTCTTGGAGTGAAAGTAAGACGGACTGCCATGAAGCAACATCAGTTATGCGTATTATGTATAGACATCTGTTATGTATCTCATCAGCTTCACACTGGTCGGGCTGTAGACAAGAAAAGAATGATGATAAGATGTTTTTCCTATCTCTGTTATCTCTCTTTCTTTGGGTCCATTTTTTAATCTCCGACTTCTCCTCCCCGCGCTTATTAATCCATCTGCAACCGGACATTCGGCGCATAAATGAAAGAAGCGCAAAAGATCCCCTCAATGGCGCCATTGCTTCCATTGATATCCTCAATATAATCCCCAATTTCACTTCACCGTCCTTCCAAACCAATACACGTATTGTACTCTCAATATGGGCGAAGCACCCCCCGTCAAAGAGCACCTAGTCATCGCCTACGCCCGCGATCTTCCGCAATGGCTGATCGTCGAGACGCAGGCCAAATTCCCCGACGCCGAACTTTCCATCCTGCAGCTGCCCAATTTCGCGCCAATTCCTGCTGGTCAGTGCTTGCATCTCAATCCCTGTCCAATTTAAATCTATCATCACTAACCAGCTGAACGTACCAGAAATCGCACGCAAAATCACTCTGCTCGTCACCTTGAGCAATCTCCCCGCCCCGGAAGATGCATCCAAGTAATACCCCCTGTCACCCCAAAAATCAGCTACAGAAATAGAACGAAATTAATATAATTCAATTTAAAAACAGAATCAAACTCATCCACTCCCTCTCCTCCGGACTCGATCACCTCCTCTCCCACCCCATCGTCAAAGAAACCTCCATCCCGCTGACCTCCAGCTCGGGCATCCACGGCCCCCCGATCGCCGAATGGACCATCATGAACTGGCTCGTCGCCTCGCGACGCTTCGTCCACACCCATGAGAACCAACAGAAACATATTTGGGCCAGGAATGTCGACTTCATGAACACCGTCCATGACCAAGTTGGTAGGAAAGTTGGAATTCTTGGATACGGAAGTATCGGACGACAAAGTACATTCCCATCTTTCACTCTGCACATCTTCAAGAAAAATACTAACAATGGGAAAAGTCGGCCGCGTCGCCTCGGCCCTCGGAATGCAAATCCACGCCTACACAGCCTCGCCGCGCCCGACCCCTTCCTCCCGGAAAGACAACGGCTACATCGTCCCCGGCACCGGCGACCGCGACGGCACAATCCCTGTATCCTGGCACCATGGGACAGACAAAGCATCCATCCACGAATTCTTGTCCCTGGGACTCGACCACCTCGTGATCGCGCTGCCGCTGACTCCGCAGACCACCCGCATGCTTGGAGCCGAGGAATTCGAGATCCTCAGTAATGGTGTGTCTGCGGGTCGACCGCGTCCGTATCTTACGAATATCTCTCGCGGCAAGGTGCTTGATCAGGATGCGCTGATTAAGGCGCTGAAGGAGGGAGTGCTAGGTGGAGCTGCGCTGGATGTGGCGGACCCGGAACCCTTGCCGGAGGATAGTCCGCTGTGGGACACGCCAAATGTGCAGATCAGTCCGCATGTCAGCTCCGCAGGGAGGGAGTATATTCCGCGTTCGCTGGATATTATGAGGGAGAATGTGGGGAGATTGGAGAGAGGGGAGGAGTTGTTGAACGGATTTAAGAGGGGGAGGGGGTACTAACCCTCATTATTGGTTGAATGAATTCATGTATATGACTTTTGGTATTATTAATTCATGACTAGTTCATACATATACTAACTGACTGAGAGAATTATTGAGTAAGCCAGCCCCGAATACCTTCTTCTGCGACCACGCCCAGCACGCCCGCTCCAAGAACCACCCACGTCCAGGGGTTCACTACCTCGGTGAAACCGGGCCAGAAACTGTTCTTCTCGCGGCGCCAACTCTGCAGCTGCTCGTATTTGTGCAGGTCCTCAGTGCGGTACCGTGTCTCCTGGCTGGCTTCGGTCTGGCGGTCGCCGCCGACGAAGCGAAGGAAGAAGTAGTTGGTCAGGGGACCGAGTAGGACGATCGGGTTGAAGTTGTTGGCAATGTTGAGCACGGCGAAGGAGATGTGGACGAGGGTATCGCCGAGGTAGCTGGTTTCATTAGCTTGGGTTCTCTAAGCAGCACTAAAGGGGGGATAGGAAGGGATAGCTTACTTGGGGTGTCTGACGATACTCCACACGCCGTGCTTGCACAGATCGGTCCGTTCCTGACGGTGCATCTCGAGCTGCGCATCGGCCATAACCTCCATGGCGAATCCAGCGCCGAAGAGTGCGACACCGATTGCCCGGACGACAGACTGGACATCGCTGTCCAGCGACAACGTCGAGGAAGTCAACCGGAATGGCACGGTGAAGGGCAGGGCAATCAGGGTGAGGAAAGCCGCCTCAGGGAGATACTGCTTGAGCAGAGCCGAGGTCCAGAACCCATTGGGGTCTTCCTTCTTCAGCTGGTCATAGCGCGGGTCATCCTTGCCGCGGGTGATAGTCCGAGAAGCGATGCGAGTAAACAGGCGAGTACCCCAAACCGTAACACAAGTCAAGAGCACCTTTTCCGTCCAAGAGAGAGTCGACCAGGCATTTTGCGGCGAGATATTATGGTAGTAGACTTGGTGTCCGATGGCGCTCCACCAGGCGTTGATGACTTGGCTAGACGGCCAGCACCAGTCCTTGATTTCGGCGCGGTCGGTAGCCTTGGATGCGATAAAGGCAGCGATGTCGAGAGTCGTGTGGAGAGTGAAGGAGGGGAGGATGGTCGATTTGAAGATCCCGATGTCGGCCGTGTGAAGCCGCGGGTGAGGGTGGGGGTGTGGGATATAGTCGTTCCCGAAGGGAGCGCTCCCGGATATATTCATGTTGACTGTGATGATCACTCAACTGTGCTTGAGGTTGAAAGAGATCGGGAATGTGGGAGGAACTGGATTTGGTTTTATAGAAGGGGGGTGTCAGTTGATGTCAGTCTTATGTAACGGCGTCATGACGATGACGTTCACTGCTTTGCGGGCTGGTGGAGCCGCCCTGCCAGGGCCAGACTGGACCCTGATCAGTCCTGCCGAGGTTCAGGTCGTTTTCATATTGCGGATGGATACATTAGTTCAGAATTAATGTTTGCTACCTTGTATATTAACATATGGTGTCTAGGTAGGGAAATTTCATGCAAAGCTGGTCACTCGAACAGCCGAATCGCCAGCTGGCGCCGATAAGATAAGATAAGATAGATAAAGAATGCTATCACTTGGATTGCCCGCGCTGCGCTAAACGAGAGAAGTTGAAATGCACATCCGGCAATCCCGACCGTTCTTTAGTCTGGTAATTGCTCTGCATTAAACTGGTAAGTCGATATCTCCAGATATCAAACACACTCTCTGTATCTTTATGTGAATGGTCAAAGGCGACAAATTGATCTCCACATCCAGTATACAGATCCGTCTTGGTTATATGGTCGTATGTGGTCGATATGAGCGGAATGTCGGCCTGCTGGGTCAGACCCAGACTATATAGTTCATTTCCATCTGGAATGTTTTCCAATGGCAACTTGTCTGTGTTGATCCTTCTAATTCTTGATATGCCATCTTCATACTGATCTTGCGCCCTGTGACGCATTAAACGCGACCGTGGGTCATGTGGACTCAGCACGGGCTTCACGGTCGGCTCGTCTTCTCGGTCAGCGTCGGGTTGACTGTGAAGTGCAGCCTTGGCAGCTAGATACCGACTCAAATGGGGTGAACTCGTTGTGGTCTGGTTTCGCCGACTTCTAAGTTGTTCTCGATGCCTAAGGATAGCTTCCCTCTTGCGGTTCTCAAAGTCAAGTGCACGGTCCAGCTCCTGGTGGTTATTTCCTGAAAGAAGCTGGCGTAGAGTAGCGGAAGACTTCTCAGGGGCAGGCGCGTGATCTTCTCTAATTTTGGGGTCTGTGGTACTTCCAAGCAAGGGAGAACCAGATTCTTCAGGCTCCGCGTCTGCTTCGGCAGGGCTAGCCTGGGTCTCGGGACATTGGTTTTGAGCGGTAGCAACGCCATCCTCTATCGATGCTGAGCCACTTGGTGACCTTTCTGGTGAGCCAAATCGCTCTTGCGCCAACTGCTGCAACGAGCGCTCGTCTCCATCGTCTACAGGTACCTCGCCAATGTTTGGTTGGGACAAAGGG